CAGTGTATAAGGATTCCATTGTCTCTACATTCTTGCCAACACTTGTTATTGTATTCTTTCTGATTATAGCTATTCTAGTGGGTATGAAGTTATATCTTATTGTGATTTTGTTTTTCATTTTCCTGCTAGCAAATGATGTTGAGCATCTCTTCATGAGCTTATCAGGCATCTGTATATCTTCTTTGGAGAAATCTCTATACAAATGCCTTGCATATTAAAAAATTGTGTTTAATATTGGTAAAATACGCATAACATAAATTTTACAGTTTTAACAACTTTAAGTGTATAATTTAATGGCATTTTCCCATTCACAATGTTGTACAACCATCACCACTATCCATTTCCAAATTATTTTTATCACTCCAAACAGAAACCCCATATCCATTAAACAATAACTCATTATTTCTCCTTCTTCCTAGCTCCTGCAAACTGCTATTTTATTTTCTGTCTCTATGAATTTTCCTATTCTAGGTACCTCATGTAAGTGAAATCATACAATATTTTTGTTCTTCGGTACCTGGCTTATTTTACTTAGCATGTGTTTTCAAGTTTCATTCATATAAAAGTGTCTTTGTATGTAAATGAGATGACTGGTGTCTGGAGCCCCTAGACAGCTTCAGGATTGGGGCTGGTCACTAGAAAGACCCAACCATAATTAGAGGATTGGAACTTTCAGCCCCACTCCAGGGAGGGAAGTGTGGAGATTGAGTTACTCACTAATGGCCAATGATCTAATCAGTTGTTTTATGTAATGAAACCTCCATCAACCCCCCACCCCCAAATAACAGGGTTCAGAGAGCTTCTCAGTTAGTGAATACATCTATGTGCTGGGATGGTGATGCACTCAAGAGAGGGCTTGGAAGCTCTGCACCCCTCCCCCATACCTTGCCAATACATCTCATCCATTTGGCTATTCTTGATTTACAATGAACGTGTAATAGTAAATAAAGTACTTGCCTGAGTTCTGTGAGTCATTTTAGCAAAAGATAGAACCTGAGGAGGGTATTGTGGGAATCCTGAATTTATAGCCAACCAGTCATAAGTACTAGTGATAACCTAGGACTTACTTGTGACTGGCATCTGAAGTGAAGGTTGTCTTGTGGGCCTGAATCACTTAAGTTGTGGAAGCCCTCTCTGAGTGGATCACTGTGCCAGCACATCGATGTATTCACCAACTTTTGGTTGATGGCACTCTGTTGTTTGGGTTTTTTTATGAAGGTTTCATTACATAAACACAACCGATTAGATCATTGGCCATTGGTGATTAACACCAAAAAGATAGTGTCAGAATTGAATTGAATTGTAGAACACCCAGCTGATGTTGGAGAGTTCGAGAAGTGGTTTTGGATAAGACACTACATATTTTGTGTCAAAAGTGTTGTGAGTATAAACAGTTCAGGTATATGAGTACACCTGGAAGTGAGATTGCTGGATCATATGGCAGTTCTATGTTTAACTTTTTGAGTAACCCAAAAACTGTTTTTTACAGTGGTTCACTTCACATCCTACCAACAATACAAGAAGGTTCCAATTTGACGACATCCTCACCAACACTTGTTATTTTCCCTTTTATTTTTATTTATTTATTTTTAAGATTTTTATTAAAATATACCAACATACAATATTATATTAGTTTCAGGAGTACACAATAATTATTCAAAATTTTTTTTACCTAAAGAAGTGATCACTGTAAATCCAGCAACCATCTGACACCATATTATGCTATCACAATATTGTTGACTGTATTACCTACACTGTACATTACATCCACATGACTTATTTGTTTTATACCTGGAAACCTGAGCCTCTTATTCCCATTCACCTTCACCCCCTCTTTTTAATTTTTCAAGTACAGTTGACCTTCAATATTATTTTATATTAATTTCAGATGTATATCATACTGGTTAGACATTTATATAATTTAAGAAGTGATCCCCTTGAGTCGCCTAGTACTCACCTGGCACAATACATAGTAATTACCATATTATTGACTATATTCCCTGTGCTTTACCTTACAGCCCCATGACTATTTTGTAACTACGAGTTTGTACTTCTTAATACCTTTACCTTTTTCACCTTGCCCCTCAATCCCCTCCCATCTATCACTCATCTAGTACCCATCTAACATTATATATAGTTATTACAATATTATTGACTATATCCCTTATTCTATACCCTACATCCCCATGACTACTTTGTAGCAACCAATTTGTACTTCTTAATCCCTTCCCTTTTTCATGAACCTTCAACCCCCTTCCCATCTGGCAACCATCAAAAAGTTCTATCTATGAGTTTATTTCTGTTTTGTTTGGGTTTTTTGTTGTTGTTCTTTAGATTCCAAATATAAGTGAAATCACATTGCATCTGTCTTTTGCTGTCTGACATACTTCATTCAGCACAATACCCTCAGGTCTATCTATGCCACTGCAGATAGTGAGAACCCATTTTCTTCCACGGCCGAGCAATATTCCATTGAACAATATATATGTGCCACCTCCTCTTTATCCATTCTTCCATTGACAGACACCCAGGCTGCCTCCACATCTTGGCTATTGTAAACAATGCTGCAATGAACAGATAGATACACACATCCCCTTGAATAGCTTTTTGGGTTTCTTCAGGTAATTACCCAGAAGTGGGACTACTGGGGCCTTCTTTGTCACTTGTTATATAGCCTTTGTTTTGAAGGCTATTTTGTCTGGTATAAGTATTGCTACTACAGCTTAAAAATTTTTTTTTTCATTTCCATTTTCATGAAACATCTTTTTCCCATTCCTTTACTTTAAGTTTCTGTGTGTCTTTTGATCTGAAGTGAGTGTCTTGTAGGCAGCATATATAAGGGTCTTGTTTTCTTATTCATTCAGCCACCTTATCTTTTGATTGGAGCACTTAACTCATTTACATTTAAAGAAATTGCTGATAGATATGTGATTATTGCCATTTTATTATTCATATTTATTTATTTAGTTAGTTAGTTAATTACTTACTTACTTACTTATTGCCTTAATGAAGTCCCTCTAACATTTCTTGTAATACTGGTTTGGTGGTGATGAACTCCTTTAGCTTTTTCATGTCCGGGAAGCTCTTTATCCTTCATTTCTAAATGAGTTTTACTGGGTAGAGTAATCTTGGTTGTAGGTCTTTACCTTTCATCACTTTGAATATTTCCTACCAATCCCTTCTGTACTGCAAAATTTCTCTTGAGAAATCAGCTGATAATCTTATAGGAGCGTCCCTATAGGTAACTAATTGTTTTTCTCTTGCTGCTTTTAAGATTCTGTCTTTGTCTTTAACCTTTGGCATTTTAATTATGATGTGTCTTGTGTGGACCTGTTTGGGTTCATATCAAGAAGGACTCTCTGCACTTCCTGGGCTTCTATGTCTATTACCTTCATCAGGTTAGAGAAGTTTTCTTCATTATTTCTTAAAATAGGTTTTTAATTCCTTGCTCTCTCTCTTCTCCTTCTGGTACCCCTATGATGGGAATGTTGGTATGCTTGATGCTGTACCAGTGGCCCCTTAAACTCTCCGCATTTTTGGGGGATTCTTTTTTCTTATTGCTGTCCTGATTTGATGTTTTTTCTACCTTGGTTTCTAAATCACTGTTTCAGTACTCTGCTTCATTTAATCTACTGTCGATTCCTTGTAGTGCATTCTTTATTTCAGTTATTGTATTCTTTATGTCTGACTGGTTCTTTTTCATGTTTTCTATCTCTGTTTTTATGTTTTCTATCTCTTTGTTGAAGTTCTCTCTGAGATCACTGAGCATCCTTATAAGCAGTTTTTGGAATTCTATGTCTGATAGATTGCTTGTCTTCATTTTGTTTAGTTCTTTTTCTGGAGTTTGCTCTGTCCTTTTATTTGGGACATGTTTTTGTCTCCATTTTGGTTGCCTCCTTGTGTTTTTTCTATGTATGAGGTAGGGCTGCTATGCCTCCCTATGTAGTAGGTGTCCTGTGAGACCCAGTGGTGTAGTCTCCCTGGTAACCAGAGCTGGGTGCTCCAGGTGTGTCCCTTGTGTGGGTTGTGTGTGCCCTCCTGTTGTAGTTGAGACTTGGTTGCTGTTTGCACATCAGTGGGAGGGGTTGACCCTCAATCTAATTGGTTGTGAGGACTGGCTGTGACCACAGTGGAGAAGCTGTTGTGCAGAGGCTGATCCTACAGAGCAGGGTTCACTTTACCAGGGCTCTGGTGCCTGCCCAGTCTTTTCTCTGGTTGTGTCATCCATGGAGGTGGCTGGGTGATGCTCCCGTCTAGTCCAAAGGTGGCCATTAGGTCTGCAAGACCCTGGGCCTCCTGGGAGAGGACCTGCTGTTGGTCAAGTTCAGCTGCAGTGTGTTCCCTGCCCAGGGCCACCTGGCAAGAGCCACAAAGCAATCCAGAGATGGCTACCCCCCACACTGTGCTTGCAGGTGCCTTGAGAGGTGAAGCCACAAACCAAGGTCAGCTGTAGCTAGTGCTGGGCTTAGAGCTGCTCAGCCAGAGGTAAAAGACACACTGAAGCTAGATACTGCTTGTTTGAGTTTTGTGAACCTTTGAGAGATTTTAAGAAAGTCCACAGCAAGAGCTAAGGCAGGCTGTTTATATGGAAAAGGTACCAGAAGTGGCTTGGGTGTGTCCAACATTTGAGTGGGGTGTGATCTCAGTGAATAACTAGGGTGGGGCTGATAAAAGGTGATATCCAGTTTGATGGAGACTCAGATATGGTGTCTGCCGGCGTTTTCATGCAAGGAGGAGGAGGGCTCAACAAAGAAACAATGGCTTCTGCTAGCTCCTCCATCCAGGAGAAAGCTCTCCTTCCAGCCCTCACCCTGAAATTAGACAACTCAGTTTCTCCCTGTGTGTCCCTGGTGCCTTTTGAGCTGCTGCCATAGTGCTGGAGCTCAGAGCGAGTAAGTCTGTCAGTGAGTAAGTCTGTCAGTGAGTAAGTCTGTGTTTGGGCTCTTTAAGAGAACCACCTCCACCCTCGCCCTCTCTCACGGGTCGGGGTTACATGGCGGCTACTGCGGCAAAGCGAGAGCCTCGGAGACGCCGCTGCCGCCAGCACAGCCGGAGACCTGAGCCGACACTGGGGGCTGCCCGCGGGTCCCGCACTCCCTCGATGACTCGGAGAAGTACCGTTGTATCGGAGTAAGATGGACGGTAGCTTTGATTGTGATTGTGGTGAGCTGGA